AAGACTCCTGTCATCTGTAGCCCCCCAGTACATATAGTTGACTCTGCCTCTCAGACAAAAATTACAGTTTTTGGGGGGAAAGCAATCATTTTTCAGTGGTATTCTCACTCCTCTCTTCTACCCAGATTCCCCCCTCACTTTACCGTATCCAGTCAGTCAGCATTTATTAAGCACCTGCTGTGTGCTGGCCCAGTGCTAAGCCCTGGGAATCCCTCAGAGAGAACCAGTACATATGGAGCTAAAGGCCCAGTATGTGAAAGGCTGGGCCCCTTACATTCTGAAAGGTTGACACGTCCTTCTTCACCCCACCCTACAACGGCGAAATATAGAAGTAAATACAAGTTATTTTCTGTATTGGTTAGTTCTTTTTTTTTTCCTCTTGGGCAGAGAGCAGGTTTTCTCCCTTTCCCTTTCTTCCTTACTTCCTCTTTCTTCTCTCCTTTCTTCCCTTCCCCTTCCCTCTCTCTTTTTCCTCCCCTCCCCTCTCTCCTCCTCCTCCTTCCTCCCCCTCTCTTTCCTCCATCCCCCCCCTTTCCTTTTCCCCTTCCCTCTTTCCTCTCTCCTCCTGCTCCTCTCCTCCCTGTCCCCTTTTCTGTTTTCCTTATGTTGTCTTCCCTTATTAGATGGTAAGCTCCTTGAGGACAGAGATGATGTTTCTTTTTCATATTTGTATCTATCCTTAACACTTGGCACAATGGCACATAGTAGGCTTTTTATTATTTAATTTAGTCCTTTTAATTAAATGTTTACTGATTGACTCCCCCCTTCCCCTCTCTCCTTTCTCTCTTCTCCCCTTGCCTCCTCTTCTCCTCCTCCCTCTCCTCCCCTTCCCCTTTCTCTCTCTCTCTATCCTTTCTCCTTTCTACCTCCCTTCTGTCTTTCCCATCAGGATCCTCTCTCTCCTTGCCCTGTTTCTCTCCAAAGGTGTTCTGTAAGTAAACAATTTTTTTAGAGGAAAAAAAGAATGAAAATGTACAAATGCCACCAGGTTGGGAGAGATTATATTTCAAATGTTAGAGCCAGGGAAATGGAGAATGAAGTACAATTGTCAATAATAATAAAAACCAATGATGGAATTCAAAGGTGGAGCCTCTTCCCCAGGCTTGCCCACATCCTGCCCTCTTAGACTTAGCTATTGCAGCATCATGCTCCTTACCAGTGTTGGAATCTCTCTGGAACCGTGCTCTCTTTCCAATGTTCTTAAAACATAAAGTAAGGCATTTTTCAAGGGAAACCTTTGGAGCCCAGCCACACACACTGGCACAGGCCCCTGGTCCCCAGACACATTGGATAGCACTAAAAAATCTGGGCTCTGAAAGCAAAATTGTCCCGCATGGTTCAGACCATTGTTCTTTGGGCTATGGATGGGTAGACCTAGGGGACCCATGGCATGGGAACCCAGAGGATAGAGTGTTAGAATTGGTGTTAGGAAACTCTGGGTTAAAATCCCATCTTGGACTAGTTGGAGGATCCTGGGACAGTCACTTAACCTCTGACCTTGTAATTGAGATACTGGTGTACTTTGTTTTATTATTTCTTGATGTCTCGTGGAGTCATTAGCTTCCACTTGGATGATTCTCATTTTTAAGGAGTTGTTTTCTTCAGTACTGTTTTATACCTCTTCCAAGCTATTAATTCTGTTTTCAGAATTTTCTTTCATTGCTTTCCTTTCCCCAACTTTTCCTTCACTTCCCTTCTTTGAGTTTTAAAACTACCCCTGGATTCGGTCACTGTAGTCTGCTGGAAGTTTCTGCAGGTTCAGAGTGAACTCCTGGCTTCCCATTGACCAGGGTCTCCTGCCCCGATTATCCCATCACAGGCTTATGTGCAGCCTGAAGGTTAGAATTGAATTCCCACTCTGCTCTTGGGCTCAGCACTGCACAACCGTGGTTGTGGAACTTTTCCTTGCTCCATACACAGCTCAGGTCCCTCTTGGTCGCAGCTACTCCTCTCCACCCTGGAACGGTGACAAGGATATTGTGGAGGAGGTTTGCTGATTGAGTTAGGCAAAAATGCTCCCTCTCGTTCCGCCAGCTTTACTCTGCCCCTTCTTGGCATATTGTACTTGGGAAGAGCTGGTGCAGATTTGACCAGGCCATTCTTTGGCTCCTTTTGGCAGAGCAGGGTTGCGTCATGGGATCACCAGATAATCAAATTAAGAGCTGGAAGGGGCCTTGGCACATAAGAACCTTATTTTATAATAGAGAGAACAGGGAGGGGAAGTGATTTTCCCCAGGTCACACAGCTAGTCAGTAGAGGAGTTGGAGTTGAAACTCAGGTGCTCAGACTAGGGAACTCTGTGCTCTTTCCATTGTACCACCCTACCCCAATTCTGGTGTCAGTTTTCTTCTTCTTTATTTATAGTGTTTGTCCCTTTGCTGATCATACACAGCAGATCCCTGCTGTGGAACAACCCTCCACTGAATGTTCATTTACAGAGGTTTACGTGATGGTCTTATCAGTTACAATGAATGGAAAATATTTCCGCATCTCCTTAGAGTTGGGCTATGTTTGGCAAATACTAATTTTAGGAAGGGTACACTGTGTGATGAGAAAACAGTGGCATTTCCCTTCATGCTCGGTCATGGGCTCCCCTCAGCCTTTGCTCAGAGCATTTGCTTTGGTCAAGAGTGTATTGGAGCTTTATCAGGAAGGGGCTTAGGATGGGGGAGGAGCTGAGGAAAAGCTGCCATTGACAAGACAATGGATTGGGAGCCAGAGGGCCCGAGTTTGAATGCTGCCACTGATACTTCCTGTCCGTGTGACCTTGGGTCACTTGACATCCTTGTAAAGTGAGGGGGTTGGGCCAGATGACCCCTGAGGTCTGTTCTAGCTCTAAATCCTTGATCTTACCATCAAAGACTAAGCTTTTCTCTGTGCTATAATAAAATACAACAATACTTTGTTATATGCCTTCAATAGCTTTCAGGAATGGGAAACCCGTGGCCTCGAGGCCACATGTGGCCCTTTAGGTTCTCAAGTGTGGCCCTTTGATTGAATCCAAACTTCACAGAACAAATCCTTTTATTAAGGATAACTCAGCCTTAGATAGTCGCTCATCCAGGACTTTTTTTGGGGGGGGGGAAGGGAAGGAGACTGTCCAAGTTAAGGGACTTGATTAGGGTCACACAGCTAGTAAGTATCAAGTGTCTGAGTCCGCATTTGAACTCAGGTCCTCCTGACTCCAGGCCAGTACTCTATCGGCTGTGTCACCTAACTGCCCCTCATCTAGGACTTTTAAAGCACCTACTATGTGTTGCCGGCATACAAGAAACCAGTGATTCAAAGATAAAGAATGAAGCAATGCCAACTCTTACAAAGCTTTCATTCTATCAGGGAGATGTGTATATAAGTATAGACAGCATAATTCTAAACAGAATAAATGCAAGAAAAAGACAAGGGAGTTTGGGAGAAGGGAGCTAGCATTTGGAGAGATCAAGAAAGGCTTGAGCTATTTCTTTCTTTTTTTTTTTAAGGCAATTGGGGTTAAGTGACTTGCCCAGGGTCACACAGCTAGTAAGTGTGAAGTGTTTGGTCTGAGGTCGCATTTGAACTCAGGTCCTCCTGACTTCAGGGCCAGTGCTCTGTCCACTGCACCACCTAACTGCCCAGATTGAGCTGCTTCTTGAAGGAAGAGAGGGATTCTCTGAGCTGCAGCTGAGGAGGGAGGGCATCTTAGGCATGAGAGATGGTCAGTGCAAGGGCATGGACTCTGGAGACAAAGTATCATCTGTGAGGAAGAGAGAGAGAGGAGGCTAGTTTAACTGGATCTTAGAGTATGGGAGAAGGAGGAATGTCCAACGAGGTAGGAAAGATAGATTAGGGTCAGGTCATGTTGTTGAGTTGTATCTGAATCTTTGTGACCCCATTTGGGGTTTTCTTTGGCAGGGATGCTGGGGTGGTTTGCCATTTCCTTCTCAGCTCGTTTTACAGATGAGGAAACTGAGGCAAGCAGGGTGACATGACTTGCCTAGCATCCCACAACTAGTAAGAATCTGAGGCTGGATTTGAACTCATGAAAATGGTCCTTCCTGACTCTGGAGTCAGTGCTTTGCACACTATGGCGCCACCTAGCAGCTCCTGCATGTAGTAGAAAGGTAATAAACATTCGTTGCTATAAACCGTCATTTTACAGCTGAGGAATCTTTTGAAGGTTGACCCCATTGCTTGACTTGTCCGGGCTACTCTGCTGGTCCAGGTGACACAGGCTTTCGGTGGCTTGGTTCGCTGCTTTTTAGGAGAGCCTAGTGTGTTTATGTTACTCCGTCATGCTCACTTTTCAGATTTTTTGTTCTCATATATTTAGAGCTGGAAGAGGCCTTCCTGGCCAGCTATCTAGCCCCTTTATCCCAAAGAGATGAAAAGATTTGCCCAAGGTCACTGAGCAATAAGGGCAGGACAGAGGGGAATCTAGACCTTGGTACATAGGTCTCGATCTGGAAGGGACCTCAGAGGTCTTTAGTCCAACCTCCACACTTTGCAGACAGGGAAACTGAGGCCCAAAGATGCGAAGGTCAAGGTTTTAAATGGCAGAACCAGAATCTAATCCCAGAACCTCTTACCTCCATCTCCAACACTGTCTTTACTAACTGCTTCCTCTGTGTGCCAATTTCTTTTCTTTTCTTTTTCTCTTTTTTTTGAAGAGGCAGTTGAGGTTAAGTGACTTGCCCAGGGTCACACAGCTAGTAAGTGTGAAGTGTTTGATCTGAGGCCAGATTTGAACTCGGGTCCTCCTGACTTCAGAGCCGGTGCTCCATCCACTGCGCTACCTAGCTGCCCCCATGTGCCAATTTCTGAAAGACCTTTCTGTGAGATAACAACAGCAATGGTGACAATAATGATGAGGATGATGATGGTGGTGGTGGTGATGATGGTGATGGTGATGATACGGAGGAGGAAGAGGAGGAGGATGATGATGATGATGATAACAACCAGCATCCGTCTGGTGCTTTAAGGTTTGCAGAACGCCCTACATTCGTTATCTGACCACTCTCTTCTAGGTGCCCTGGATGTCACGAAGGAGTGGATAAAGGAATCTGTCAATGAAGAATTGTTTTCTCTTTCGGAAAATGCCTCCTCTCCTGGGGCCGGGAGTAGCTCCAGACCCAGCCTGAGCCCAACCACGGTGCTGAACAACAGTTACTTGAAGCTGCTGCATTGGGATTATCGGAAGAAGGAATTACCCGAGGTGACTACCTCCCTGGGGTTTTCTGCATTTTAATGCTCTGGTTCCTGGGAATTTGCTCATCTTGTGTCCATAAAATCATGTGTAATTGACACCACTTGCCAAGATAATTATAAGAGCAGCTGTGTTTATTTACAAAGCACTTTCCCGGGGAGACTCCCAGTATCCCATAGTAAGGACTAAGTTGGTGCTTTTGCTCTTACTGTGAGGGAGGTAGGGAAACTGAGATGGGGAGAAGGGGATGTTAAAAGACTTGTCCAGGGTCACATACCTAAGTAAATGTCTGTAACGTTTCTGTCTATGAATGTGGTGACATTTGAACTCAGGTCTTTCTGACTCCATCCAAGCCCAATACCCTACCCACTAGACCACAGTGCCTCTAAAATGAGGTCATATTAGCAACTATAATATAGCATTAGAGAGCGGGGGTGGAGTAGTGGTAAGAGTCAGGCAGTGTGAGTTAGAGGTCTACATTTGTTTTTCCAGCACCTAGCCCAATGTCTGGCCAATGTCTGGTAAGCAGGCAATAGGGCTGTCCTAAAGGCTTGTTGATTGCTTGATTGTGTGACCCGGGGTTAGTCACTTCCTCTATCTCACCTTCAGTTTCCACATCTGTAAAAGAGCGAAAAACAATTCTTATATTACTCACCTCACAAAGTTGTTGACACAAACGAGATGTGAAGCCTTCTATCAACGAGTCAGCAAGCATTTATTAAGCACCTACTATGTGCCAGTTCTGGGGATACAAAGAAAGGTAAAAGGTAGTTCCTGCCCTCAGGTAGCTTGCAGTCTAATACTTAAACAGCTGTTCTTATTATTGTTAATAACATGAATAATGTAAATGCTGGGTGCCAACGTTGATGGTGGGACCTGCATTGTCATTCCAGCTATTCCACTTGTCACCATAACAGTAATGAATGAATGAATGAAAGCATTTATTAAGTGCTTACTATGTGCTCGGCACTGGGTGAGGTCCTGGGGATACAAATAACAGAAGGGAAGACAGGCCCTACCCTCAAGGGGCCTGCATTCTAATAGAGGGAAACCACATATTTTGGTTTGGAAAATTACTGAGAAGGTCAGTGAAGTTATAGGGAAGTGGACGGACACAGATCCCATAAAGTAGTAAGGATAGTGTTGATTTGATAATGGTTCTGGGACTGGGATCAAGGGCATGGGGGAGGAGGGCAAGGAAATGCATCAGCAAGTTGGCTGGAAAGAAGGTGGCTGGGCCATAAAGTGAAGCTTGGCTCCATATGCTGGGCTACCCAGGCACTCACCAAACAGAGCACTGCAGGGGCCCAAGGCAGGCCTTGGAAGGTGAAAAAGTGTTGTCCTCCAGCAATGCTGGCTGATTTCTCTGTAGCACATCTGTGGAGTTCCCAGGGTGCTTTACATCAAGTATCTCCTTTAAGCCTTGAAACACCCTAGATCCTAGAAATATTATAATTAATTTTTACATATGAGATTTGAACTGAAAGGTCCAGCACTGACCATCACACCACACTGCCTTAGGCAAGTCTTAGCCTCCCTGGGTCTTAATTTCATCGTCTCTAAAACGAGGGAATTGGGTTAGATGCTGCATGTGGTTCGCCTGTTTGTTTGTTTTTTTAATGATTTTTGTTTCATTTTATTTTTATTGATCAGACACTAATGACAGATGGAACCCGTCTTCAGAAACTGACAGAAAGGCTAAATCAATTGAAGGTTATCTCCTGCCTGTCACTAATCACCAACAATATGGTGGGCACTCTGATAGAAGGCTTGCCTGAGCTCTCAGATCGACTGAAAAGGATTTCCACCATCTTACTTGAAGGAATGCACAAAGAGTAAGTTCTCGAAGCCAACGTGGATTCACTTTGTCATGTCACTCTTCATTGAATTTGGAAAGCATGAGCCCCTGGGATTGCCAAATGGGATTTTCGTGACTGAAACTTGGAGCTTTTTGCCTGATGGGTTTTCCCCCTCTAGTGCCTTTTAATTTTGCTCAAGGCTTAGATGGGATGTCTAAAGTAGGGAGGGGGATTTTCCAAGGCCAGTGTCAGGAAGGGTGTTATGTTCCCACATAGAATGAAGATGTTAGAACTTTGACTGTGCTGTCTGAACAATGCCAAAAACCAATCCAAAAAACCCAACCTGCAAAACTCAGTTGTGGAAAGCCGCTGTGAGTTGGGTTATCCTCAGGTACAGTTAGTTGTACCTCCATCTTTGCCCTGGGTCTCCTCCTCCCTTCCTTTTTTCTTTGGTATCTATGTTTACCCCTAATAGAAGGGAAACTTCTTTTGAGTAGCTCTCATGTCATTCTTTGTATCCCCAGGACCCAGAATAGTACACAGTAAGTGCTTAATAAATGCTTGCTGATTGGGAGGCAAGTTTGATACAGAGCAAGGAGCACTGACCCTCTCTGGAGTCAGATGACCTGAGTTCACATCCTAGCTCAGATACTTATGTGTACCTCCAGGCCCCTTTCTGGCTCACAAGTATAATTTTCACTCTCACCTTATCCTTGTAATACATAACAACAAGTGTTTATTAAATACCTATTATGTGGTTTGAAGGCACAAGTCCATTACCCTCCCTGAGCCTTGGTTTCCTTTTCTGTAAAATGAGGATAAAATGACATCATCAACTTCCCGGATTTATTGTAGGGCTCAAATAAGATAAACTATGTAAAGTGCTTTTCAGGCTTTGGACTAGATGGTTTCTCAGGTCCCTTAGGGCTCTAAATCTTTGATCTAAGGGTGAATAACTTTATCTTGCCTCAGTTTCCTCATCTGTTTAAGGGGTTGGGACTAGATGCCTTAAGGGACCCTTCCATCTCCAGAGCCATGATCGTGGCATCCCATGATGCTCCATGTGAACATCAGTCTTTGTTATTATTAACTCGCCATTATTCTTACCAAGAGGCAGCGTGTCATCCAGTGGATACGGAGCACTCTGTGAGTCAGGAAGACCTGGGTTCCAGTCCTACCTGTGGTACCTAGAGTGTGTACTAGACAGAGTGCTGGATTTGGAAAAGGAGGGAGACCTGAGTTCAAATATTGTCTCAGACACCTCTGAGGTGTGTCCCCGGGCAAGTGACTCAGCCTCTGTGTACCTCATCTGTAAAACGGGGTGAACAACAGCCCCTCCCTCACGTGTTTGTTGTGGGGCTCAATTAAGATAAGCTATGCACGGTGCTTTACAAACCTTCTGAAAGAGCATTCTGAATGTTAGCTCTTGGTATCAGTCATTTTGAGGGTGTGATCTGAGCAGGTCCCCAGACACTGCTCTGAGCTCAAGATGCCGGTCTGCATTTGGAGGACAAGATTCCCTGCCTGGTGCTAATGAAGTCACAGAACAGGAGGGAGAGGGCTAGGAACACCTGAGGTTAGGTCCCACCTGTGGCTGTGTAATCCTGGGCAAGTCACGGGAGCTGATGGTCTCAGCATCCTGGTGGGTAAAATGAAAGTCATTGGACTGAATAATCCGTAAGCGCCTTGTGTCTCTACATCTGTGGTCTTGGGAGCAGCGACCCGGAGAAGGTTCTGAAACCTACTAAACATGAGGGTGTTGGACAAGGAAGGGTCAAACTCCATCCACCATCTGTGCAGCTAGATGGAATCATTGAAAGAGCTTAATCAAGTGGGAAATGTGGGTGAAGAAGCAATGGGGAATTTAAAAGGAAATCAAGAAAGTATAATATGTGAACCTAACTCTCTCCCTCTCTTCCCTCCTCCTCCTCC